CCCTGTGGGACAAGCACTGCAGCCAGACACCAGCTAATGGATCACAAGGTTTTTCTACTTGGTAGACTTGAGTATTACAAAGCAGTTTTATAAAAAGGATGTTAGCTGACTTATGCTCAAATCTTAATAGGGGGATAGGGCACTAAAGTTAGAGAGATTTCTTAATTGCTTTTTTAAAATACAAGGTCACAAGCCAACAGTGCAACTAGAAATGAAAATGYGCAGTGCCAGAGTTCAACCACAGCCAAACATGGAAGGGATCCCTAACTCCATCCCTTACTTAAAACAAAYGCACACCCCAACAGTCTTTTATGCTGTATGACATCAACCTCTGCACCTTTTTATTACAGTGTGTGTGAATGGTTGTGGTATTGGCAATGAATCCTTTCATGCTGCAGGAGACCAGGGACTTGCTAAGCACTCAGTAGACTGGGTTTTTCCGTGCACTCTCTCCAGGTACATGTGGCAGACATGGCACAGCTAAAGCTGCAGGGAAAAATTGCTCCTAACTGAGAGAGAAGGCCTCAGTTAAACAGAACAAAAAGTAGGCAGACAGGCACAGATGAGACCCTCTGTCATTTGGGATTCAGCTTCAGATTTGGGGCCCTGGCTCTGGTGCTGGTTCCCTCCACCACCAATTCTCATCCTTGGTCTCCAACACTGGAATGTAAATCCCCACCTTCTTCCCTCACCTCTCTGAATTTTCAGGTGACTACAGGCAGCAAATCTGCCCTCTGCATCATCACACAATTGCTCTGGTTGGGGCAGAATTCCCAGTTAAGTGACATGTGCAGYGCAGCTCACCTCCAAACAATGGGAAGAACACCAAGAAGCCTGCAGTGTTAAAAAGAAACATTTTATTGCAAGAGATTACAAACCTGGCACTATGGCCAAATGTTTCCATTACAACACAATTGCTACCCATGTATCAGGCAACAGCACCGACAAAGCATGGTGGATTGAAATATCTGAAATCATAATGCAGTCAGATTTTCAAAAGAAGTACCACCTAAAAAGTTGGGTTTTTTAAACAAAGTTAAAACTATATTAACCAATTATTTTAATATGAAACTGGTGTTTAAATATCCAGGCCACTAACTACTGTTATAAAAAGTGGAAAAGTCTGTTAACCATAGTGCTGAACTAAACAGGCTTTGTTCACAGCCCATAACCATTTAGTTAAAWGCAAGTACTTGTTAATGTTTCCACATTTGTTCAGCCCAATTTATCTTCTGCAGGTTTTCAGAATCAGGTAGATCTAATGGATAACCCCTCTTTAAAGCACCGCAGGAAACCTAGAAGAGTAATTGGCCCCAGGAAAGTATCAGACTCAAAACTGCATCTTCCCATCTCAGTCCTGTGACACTGACCTTTTGAAACTTTGGATGCTCTTCTCTGAGCCCCAATTCATAACTTGCGTTCCTCCTGTGATCCACTTACCTCAAAGGACTTGGTGATTTCCCTGAGCATGGCTGAAATAGTAGGAATTAGCACAGGCACACGGGTCAAACACATCCTGCCTGGCCCAGGACTCACTCGGGACTGCGACGGTGCCCGGTGCTCACTGCCCTCCCCAACAGCTACCAACTCCTATGGTCGGCTCTGCTCCTTCCTCTCCCAGCTGGAGGAGCCAGCAGCTCATTTCCTGACACTGCTGCCCGGGGAAGGCGAGCCCTGAAGAAGYTGGATGTGTGGGCAGAGCTGGAGCMCCCCAGCCCGTGGGAGCAGTGCCCCTGATGCAGTTCACCCCATGCCCAGGAAGCAGCACCGGGCASACAGCACTGAACGCCCAGGGCTCTGTGTGAGCCAGCACCGCTCACCTGCATGGACCATGTGTCCAGCCTGAACACACTACCACTGGCAGCAGCTACCATGGACACTTCATCACCTTGCCAAGGCTCTGCAGAAACATCTTTGCAAGCAATGCAAGCCGAGTTTTAATTTTTGAAGGTGATTTGGAAATATCACTGGGACTAGGGAATACAGGCCATCATCTGATGAAAAGTGTATGCGGGTGGTCTTCTACAATCTTCCTGAGGCTACTACTTAGGAGACCTTTACCAGAAACTAGGGCAACTTCAGAAACAAGACGGATAAAAAAATCAAAATCAACCAAACAGRAATCACTGCAACCCTGCAGCTTTTATCCCAAAGCAATCTAGAWGCCAACCTGAACAGACTAACACTCGTGCTCAGGTGAGTGCAGCTCTGGAAGTCCAGCTCTTTAACACAGCCTGCCGATCCACTTAACATCGGATTGGCGTCACAAAGTGACTGATTTAATTTCTTCTCTTCTACCAGATTATTTAGAATTTTGGTAAGTCCAGAGAGGGGGATTTATATTTGCTTGCAGATAGTGATACAAATATTTTTTATCTCCAAACAACAGAAACCAAGAAAACAAATAGCCCTATTTGAGTACTAGAGGCTAAGGACAGCCAATGATACTATATTTTTTAAGATTATTCAGCCTGTATCACCATATATGCAATTAATTTAACAATCAGAAGAGTTCTACAACTCGTACACACCACAAGGATCTGATGCCAGCAGGGCACACAGCCTGTCACTGAAAACTGCTCCTCATCAATAGAATCTCGTTTTGGAAACCGATCAGCCCTAGAGCTCACTGCTTCTCAGACACAACCTTACATTTTAGTATTACATGAAGTAGCTCACTATTGGGGTTTAATGAATTAAATAGAATTAACTAGTTTTTAAAAAAATTATTATTATTATTAATCTAGTCAGAGTTTTTGCTAACTCAGAATTCTGCACAGTATGGCTTCACCTTACAAGCATTCTTAACAACACTAGATAAATATCATTTGCACTTAATTGATTTTTTCATTTGCTAAACAGCCACAAAATATGGTGCTCTCATAAGCACCTTTTTTGGTGAGAAGGGTAAACAAGCACTCTATTAAAGCATTATAAACATTCAAGGTGATTTGATCACTTCCCTCTATTGTTTCAACACATTGCTTTAAATCTTCCATTTTCACATCATATAAAAGAGTCCCACAAGTATCCACAAATTTAGAAATTTGTTAGTCTGCATACACATAATTTGTCTGCAATACACTTCAACATCCCAGTTATCTCTTCTAAAACCTCTTAAGTATTTACTCCTCCAGCCTTTAAATATAACAATGTAGATTTTCCACTTACAAGAGAATAAATTTCAACAAGAAAGCTAAACTTAACTGCAGCAATTTGTACAGTTAAACACCTGACAGCACTAATTTAATGACAGCCTTGACAGAACTAGGATGGCCTTGTCTGAGGCCTCTGTCTTGCACAGCTGCRCATTTTTAGCCCATCTATTCTACCAGAACATTAACAAGCCTCATGTGTTAACTCTTAACTCCGTGCATCCAGGAAGACAGACATTTATTCATATTTTCCACCAATTAAATGTAATGCATCTGTGAACAATTCAGTTTATTGCAAGTAAATGTACTTTTACTTAAGATCATGAGAAGAGTCTAATCTCAAGCAAGACAAATCAATTCCACAAACTTAATTCACACAATGCAAATAAATGCTTCACATTATAGACATTTAGATTTTCTTTAAACCTTTTTATTTAGAGATTTTTCTGGTAAGGAGATATACCATAGGAAAGCAATTTCACTGGCAGTGAGGTATGTATATACTCTACCAAAATACTCCTCTTGCTTTAACTGTTTTTAACTTTATTTACATATAAAGAAAATATCAATGCATATCCTTGGCTTAACTACAGTATCTGTTACCCTATATGAGTAAAATGAAATGTTACTTGCATACAAAATTGATTTGTAGAGGAATCTAATTTGATTTAAACAAAAATCATGTTCTGAAGACAGTTTAAATGAACAAACACAATTTATCATGACCAAGACACCTGCACCATATTTCCATCCTCACAGCACATTTATTTCAATAATTCTGTAAGTAGGTCCTTAGCATGAGCATAGTGTTACAGTTTTCATACATATAATCACATCCAAAACAAGCTCTAAAATTTAAGTTGTAAACATTCTCTTCATATGTAGAAACATTTCAATCTGTGTTTGAATTTTCTAAAATGATCAATCTTTTAAACAGAATTATAAATGAAAAGCCTACTCTAACCGTGTAGTGAGCAATGCTTATTAGTACATTTCTACAGTGTTAAATAAAATAGTAGAGGCAAACTTCTGTAAGCAAGTCAGACTTTACGTAAATTGTCATAAAAGTAACAAACTTGTTAACAAAAAGATGCTTTGTAATAAAGTTGGATTGAATCTACTATGATACAAAAACATAAGGGTAAATACCATCTTTGTTGACAAGTAGGAGGTAGCATGGATGCACCACTTTATTGTCAGTGAGAAATGCAACTGAAGTAAAGAATATTTCCTTACCACAAATTTCCAGTATTATGTACATATTTCTCTTAGAAATTTGTTTAAACAAGTTTCCCTCCACTTTTTAGTACAAAAAGCCTCATGTGATTAAAAAAAAACACACACCTAGATAGAATAGTACTAATTGCCCTATTTGAACGAAACAGTCTCTTGAACTATGAAGTACATGGTATTTAATGCCCTAAGTTGAGTAAATTGTATTAGCAGTTCTTGGTATTATACAAAACACTACATACATACAAACAAAATATAATAGTATCTTAATATACTATGTAATTCTTTTTGGAATAAACAGAGCCTTGATTTGGGTAACACTGAAGAGAACATGGTTTCTTTGTTTTATTAAAATCTGTCTTTKAAGTACCCATGTGCAACAATTTAAAAATGGCTGCCATACATATAATGGTCTTGTATTGATAGTGAACACAGTAACTGACAAAAACATAATAAACCTTAAAAACACATCTTCCACCCTATATAAAATATAAAGACTACTTACTGTAACTGTTAAGTATTCAATTTATTTTGATGTTACTGTAATCCACTTCCCCTATTTTCTGTCTATAGCATTTATAAACATAATTTAGTGTAGCAATTTATTTTTAAAAAAATGAAGAAGTATTTCAAATTTACATCCAATTAAAATTTAAAATGTTTTCTTGTTCTATGATGCTGCTTCTGCCATCAGTAAAGAAAATGAAGTTTCAGTAATTGAAGCAGGCTTTTTAAGTAGTGATGTGACTTCAACCATGCCAGCTCCAGTCCGTGGAAGATTTGCGTTGACAATGTGTCGCTGCAAGTGCTTTATCCAGTCTTCTTGAACAGACAAAGGTCCTCGAAAGACCAGACCACAAAACCTATGCAAATATTAAAATTAATCCATCAAGATACATCTATCTCTACTAAAAAATAAAGACGTAAGGGGTAAGTCTTAATTTTCTTGGAGTTYGTTTCTACATGTTTTAGCTGAAAAACTTAGTAATTGAGTTCTTTAGTAGTAACTGTGAGCACACAGCCTTCCAGCTTATACAACTCACACTTTCAAYACCAGTCATAACAATCTGTTGTTCTTATATAAAGTTTCTTTTGAAGGACAGAATATTACTCAGACATGACCAGGAGTTTTCAGCTAAAGAAACAACTGGCAATCTAACATYCAAATATGACTGAATCAAATCCCCTGATTCAAATTAATGAAAATRGGCRATTGCTTCCCCCTTTTCTTATTTGATTTAATCACAAACATTTATGGACACAATCATGGACCTTTTTACAGCTAACGTTAGCTCTTGAGAACATGTTCTTCCAATTAAAGTAACACTATGTACCTGCATCTGAGTATGTAAACTTCATCAGCACTATGAGGTAATGGCAGCATTTTCTTCTTGCTTCCAGATCTTGACCTTGACTTCTTTTGCTTACAGTCTAAAGCTAAAAAGAGAAATTTCCATATGTGAAAGTAATACTTCAATGAGAGTTAGACAGAAATATTCAGTAAGTAACCCCTATAGCAGTAGTGAAAAGAATCTACTTTCTTATAATTCTATAATTAATTATAATGTAAATCCAAAACAATTATAGCATATTCTAAGAAATATACTGGCAAAACATAAGAAGCTGGTTTTTTTTTTAAGCTTAGCATAGTGCTTGCTCTTTGAAAACTAGATAACTRACATTCAGTATTAAACTCCTGTTTTAATATCAGCAAGCACCTACTGACCTATTGCAGAATTATACAGAAGCAAAGCACCCCTGGAAATTCCCTTTCACGCATAAAACACTGTCAAAATCTCAGAACTTGTTTTGTAGTTCTAGTACTGTCATAAGACCACTATGTTCAACCAAGTTACAACTTTACAAAGTTCTAGCTTTCAGCTAACACAATCGAGAATTTCTAGTCTGGATAAAACACCTGCCATTTGTTTTCAACACAAAGCAAAGATTTGTCCATTTGTTCTAAGAACTTCAAATGAAGCTTCTCTCTCATTCCTGTCTGAATTCTAATGAAATTTAGAAAAAGTATGTATTAGTCCTTGGCAGTGGGAGCTKGTATTAGGACAATCAAGAGGGATGGCAAGGCCACTTTTTAAATTCAGACCAGGCATGTGAAACTATCTAYGAAAATAACGTGTGTGAACAGGAAACACATAGCAAATGAATTCAGATAGTTTTGAGGTCTGTACCTCTCATAAACAAATGCAATGGGAATCTGAAACAAAACYTGGAGATTCTAAGAAGCAGCTGAAGAGGGGGATGAGTGGATTAAACTGAATTAATATTGTTATGGTGCAAAAAGCTGATAAAGCTCAAGAAGTTTGTGACTGCTTGRACTGAGAAGTATATCTAGCTACACTCAATTCCAAAACACAAGACACCAACAATAGAACTCCAACACAAAAACTTTTTGCAAACAACCAGTTACATGACTTCAACAAAAAGTTCACAGAAACCAGAAAGACAGTACCAGGTGGTATTCTTGAAACCAAGAATGCATAATGCTATGCTACTGAAGCATTTTAACAGTGAAATGGAAAAAAAAACTGTTACACTTGGCTGAAGTTTTGACTCCTATAATACAAAACAGAAGAATTAGCCTCTTAGCATTCTGAAGTGTTAAGACATCATCTGGTGAGATAAACACGTTGATTTAAAGAACACACAAGTCTTGACTGCACCCTTAAGTTTTCTCATGCCCTCCAAATRAGCACCTCTCAAGCTTTTACCTTGTAGCCCAACTTTTAACTTGGTAGCTGTAACAGACTTTTTCCAGCTCCATCCCCAGATTTAAAGAYACCTACAGTATCTGAAATTTAGAATGATTTTCTGAGGTTTAAAGGTATCAGAGAACCAATAAAATAAGTACAAAGCGAGACTTCTTCAGATTAACATTAGGAAAATAAGGTTTACCAATGTTTTTTTTCTGACAGCAACAAAACCAGTCTGGATAAAAAGTCAGTAACCCAAGGTGGCAGTGGGGAGAGAGAAATGGCCAAGATAACTTGTAGAAAAGCATTAAGGGGGGTTCTTAATACCTTGTTTCTCTCACCAAAAGTATGTTCTTCATTTAATCAGGAAGGAAAAAACTATTGTATCAGGTAGGAACTACCACATATATAAATATTTTACATACTACAACTTCAGTAACATCCTCAGAAATGTAAGCAGATAAAATACTGGAACCAGACACCCATGCTCTGAAGAGAACTGTTTGTATGAGGGGCGACTTATCTGCARCAGTTACTACAGCAAAAGCTTTGCCAATTTTGTGGAACATCATGGGAAGAAGGGAAAGAGAAGTCAGTATTATCYGAATGCAAACATGTCCATGAGTTGCATCTGATGACAGTTAGTCAATACCAGTTGATATAAGTGGAAAAAAAAAGAAGCAGTAGACAACAGATTCCTCCTGGAGAGGCCAACCTGCATTTGAAACACGAACTTGCKGATTTCCTTGATGTCGGCAAAGACATTCATTCCCATCAAGAAATTTGATTCTACTCACACACATCTGGAGCATTTCAGAGTTTCTCTTTCTCATTAGACCTGGACTTGTCTTCTGCAACAGATTCCTGAGACCTAACGGGTTTGTGTGTGTGTGTGTGTATAATCTAAGAAAAAACTCGCTCTGAATGACTGTGCAACAGCAACMCTGACAGAAACTGTCATAATGAACCACGAGAAGTAGTTTCTACTTCCTTGAAAGGTACCTTTTTCAAGAACAATTAGAAAACAAGGAAAACAAAAGGGCATGTCCACTGAGCCATTCATGATGGAGGCTCTAGACAGAGAAAACTACAAAAGAAAGAACAGAAAATACCACARTAAAGGACCAAGAAAAAAGATTCAGATTACTCAATGAATTCTCAAGAGCAACTTAGCTAAATTTCGAAGTAGATTTGCCCAAGCAAGAAGCTGTTACAAAAGACAGAAAATACTAAGAACACTAAACCTGTGTTCTGCAAGGGTCATATTGCTCCCTTTGTCTTTTGAGCTAGTGAACATATTCTTTTATAGTTTAGGGAGCTCAAAGCAGCAGAAGTACATTTTGAAGTTACTCCAGCAAAGCTGGAAAGTGAGTGAAGGAAGAGGAACTAATTGAGAAAAACTGATTGAAAACCACAGTTCAGTAATGGATAACAGCAGTTATCAGGCATGTGTACCAGCAACTGCCACATTAATTTCATTTTGTCTGTCCAGAGAGCAACAAGTTTAAACAAAGTCACATGCACACACTTGAGTACTCTGTTGATGATGTTTACAGGTGATTGCAAGTATCAAGTCACACAACTGCCTCACCCACTGCCTCCCCATAAAGTAGAGAGTTCTGACCAAGCTCAGTTACTGTCCTATGACTTCACTGTAACAAAACATGACCTCCTCAGAAAGTATAGTTTCTCGAATCTGGGAAGAGACCAAGGATAAATTAGCTCTAGTCAGGTGCAAGAAAACTGGAACAAATCGCTAGAGAGAGGCATTAACACCTACTTTGTAGCTACAACAGCTTCCAAACTATCATCCTCCATTCTCCATGAAGGCCTACTTCTTGTTGGAAGACGACTCTTTCTTTCAAGGCCATCTGGAGTTTCCCAGCTGATAAGTGAAAACATCTTGTAAACAACCTGTCACATCACTTCCTCAAACTTCTAATACAACATGATGGAGAAACAACTTCTTTAGAACAAAAGACAATCAAACATTGCATGAATCTCCTTGAGCTACTTATGTACGATTTCAGAGCACACTACTTCAAAAAATATACGCTAGGTAAAAATAGCGTTAGCATATAAAAAGCTTCTTTACCTCTGTGACCACTTATCAAGAAAGACTACAAGCAGATGGAGACAGGAGGTTTAAATATGCCTGCCTAAGACAACATGAATTAGACAGGTCACAGAGGCCCTTTCATGCCATGACATTTGGTCTGCAGTCCCAAATTAAAATGCTCTGCTTCCTCATGTCCCCCAATATGAAAACGCTTCTTATTTCAGGAAAATTGAAGCTGGGTCTTTGGCTTCATTACTTTTGTCGTAGTGTATGTAAGTTAAAACAAGCTGAATAATTGCACACAGAAATGGAACTAATTAACCATTTGAAAACACTGCCAATTAAAAAGTAAAAAAAAAAGAGAATTCTATTTCTCATGCATTTAGCCACTAATTTTTCAAATTCAAACCCTTGCAATCTATCATCACTACCGCACAGTACACTAAAAAACCCCTCCTACCATTTGCTCCCTATAGGATTTTATAGGATACTGAAAAGTAGATCATCATACCAGTTGATTGATTATAGTGTAACAGCACAGAATAGATACATAAAACCAATGGATCTCAGATTTCTGTGTAGCTGTTATGCTTCCACTGCAAACTTCCCAAAGCTACAAATTTGTCAAAAAAATGTTTGAAATTATTTGAACACTAGTAGCCCCCATAAACTGCTAGCTCAGTCACACTTGGCTTGACGGCCAGACTCCTTGCTCTGTACTTACTTGTTCCCTCCCAAACTTCTGAAAAAGCATGCTCCACCTACACAAGCAGAGACCAAAGAAGAAAGTGGYGATTCCCAGAAGATGACGGCCAGAAAGATGAGACTGAGTATATGAAAAGAGTCAACAAAGAGAAGATGTAAAAARCCAGGGTGCAAGGAAGTATCAAGAGACTTGGGGAAAGCCAAGGGTGGAGGGAGGAAGAGAAGCTCAGAGAAAAGAAAAGGAAGTTGAATATACAACTACAACCAWGAAGAGTGACATGCATTTTGAAGATTTGGTGTAGGTTTGTCCAATGCTCTAAAGATACACAGAAGAAAGAAGAAAGTTTACCATGTGTCCGAGGAACACCAAACTGTTGCTACACATCAAAACAGGATAAAAGGCAATTAACATCTACTCAAGATGAGCAAATAAATCATTACAATGTTAAAAATTAGACTGAATAACAATAACAAAAAAAGTTCAAGCCAGACATCTGAAGGCACAGGTATCTGCTCTACAGTGGATCTCTAATGCRTAAGTATAGGCACAAATAAGATTTAATAAAGACTAACTTCAAACAGCCAACAGGCTAGGAACTTTCACTTCTAAGATGTTTTTCTTGAGTCCATTCTTCAAAGCTATCATTACGCTCAACTATGTCTGCTATACTGCTAAAACTGTCAAGTTGCATTTGAAAAAAAAAACAGGCTAAGATTTAACTACATATGATGAAATTACTGACTGAAGAAGGAGGGCATCTGCTAGAAGGCCAACATGGTAACAGTCAATATCAAAAACACGTGCAACAGTCAATATCAAAAATGGAAAATTTGAGACTAGTATGTAAGCTAATGTAGTGCTCAGAAAGGTCTCACTGTGGTGGCATGCAGAGATTACCACATCTCTCCTAACAAACAGGAGTGCCTAGACAGGTCCCATAACAATGGCCAAATGAAAGAATTACAGCATTCATGTTTAGACACAATTAYTTCATTACAGCAAGAAACTGAGGTAATTGTCCAACTGATGTGACTTAGTTTTGGTAGTTACGCTTACTTTAGAAGATATAAGAAAGGCTTAATAACAAGAAGGAACCTGCATAAACATGTCCTTAATGACTCCATACAATAGCTGAAGACCACTGAAGGTTCAGCTGTGGCTGAGGCCAAACCAAAGACATCTTGAAATTGCTCTCAACTGCAACCATTTTTAAAGAAGAAAACCAAGAGCAACACTCATAATGACATTTAAAACTAGGGTGTACTTGTGAAATCTTGCACTAACATAATTCTCTTCACAAAACTTACATTATAAAGTGGAATATCAAATAACACAACTGTTAAAAACATATTTTTTGTCTACAAGCCTTGAATTAAGCTTGCTTGAATGAGAAGTCAATGAGCAAAGTTTACAAACTTCACACAGAGTTGCAGCAGTGTAATGACTAAGTTAATACAAACATACTTTGGTTGCATGTTATAGCTAGAACTCAACATTGACTCTTTAAGTCAATGGTTTCAGCAAAAGGCCTTTATCCATGGTGTAAGTTAAGTGGCTTAGCTGCAGCTTCCAAGATGAAAAGATTTTTTTTTCAAACTTTTGTTTCTAATCTTTTATTTAAACTTTGTTTCTAAGACCATTTTAAAACCTAATTTTAAACCAACTACTGCTTCAAATGATACAAGACTCATGAGTTTTCTTTACATTCTTTTAAGTAAAGTGGCAACCGTTCTGGTGACTATGCAATTACTTCACTAGCAAAGTACCTTTCTTAGAGAGAACAACAAAAAAATTCCTGAAAGCAYCTTAATAAGCTTCCTTCACCCTTCCCACTTAGCAAAAGGGAAGCTGGGTACAAAGTGATTGTCCAGGACTCAAATCTATCCTGTTAGCCAGTGTCTCCTTCACTGAATTATTGTTAAGTTATTAATGTGCAATTTAAATATATAACTATTGAAAAATAATTCCTCAGTAGGTACATAAGAAAATGAACTTACCACAGGGCTAATAYCAAATCACAGCAGTGGTAAGTGAAGTCCACTACCATCACCCTTCTACTGAATAAATATGACATTTTTCAGAATCATTGACCAAAGGCATATTCTTCTACATGTTAGATATTACTRCAACTGCTGACTTCCTTCCAAATCTGCTTTGTTATAGCATTAATGTAGTGTAACGCAAGACCTGGCAGCCACAGGCCCATATTGCAAAAACGTTTCTTTTAGCCTTCTGCATAGAAAGCCTGCAACTCAGTTTGTAATTTTTAGCATAATAAATTGCATTTGCAGATAAAAAAAGGATTATGCATTTTCCAAGAGCATTATGTAAAAGTCTGTGTTTGCTGACACAGAAAACTGATGGTTGCCCTTCTTAATTACAGAATATTTCAGACTTCGTATCTCCAAATTTCCCTCATTATATTGCACCCTGCTCCTGAATTTCCTGTTGATTGTGTGAAGTCCCACTAATCTCAGCAATAATCGAAGTAAACTCAGAAACTGCCTACAGCCAAGCAAGCTGCAGGTCTTTGGAAACAAGTCAAAATACAGTACATCACAATTTTAAAATGAAGTGTGTTTTAACAAAAACATGATCAGCAGTGCCAAATGCTGTACCACCCTCACTCAGTGTCAGAACAGGTAGTTTTTGGGTTGTGAGCCAAACAAGAAATTAAACCAACTACGAYATGTTAGAAAGATACGAAGTATAAAATTACTTGCTTTTCCTATTTTACAAGAGTACTCTTCATAATGATATGTACTAGACTGTAAAATTACTTGTTTTGTTGCCTTTCTTTTCTCCCCACCGCTCTCATATCGGAGAAACTTTTAAAYACTTCATTAGAAGGTCAACTATCTGAACTGGAAGCTGTGACATCACAGGTGAATGAATTTAAGCAATCATTTCTTAGTTTTGCTTACATACCTTAAATGTTGGATCCAAAATCAAAGAATGAAAATCAGACATGAGAGTGGACAACAGCAACATAYGCTTTCTTACAAGTTGCTGAAGTTTTATGGCAAATAAATTGTTTACCAGCAGAAGCTTCAAAATTATTTTGAATTAACATATGCTTTTGTCCAGTCTGATGAAGAAAATGTATCATAGACAGACTTGCTTTTACATCTGTAACAAAACATACCTGTCCCAGTCAAAAGTCCAGCACTCTTCTTTCGTGCATAAGCGCGTAAGTGGTTGGACAGGCTAACAGCACTTGTAAACGTCGTATTGCAATGCACACACGTTCTAAGCTTCACAGGCATACCTATCATTCAAAAGAAAACTATAATCCAGTTCTCTCTTCAAAAAATGAAATTCTCAAAGCGTTGTAAAAAGTTTTCTGCAATAAAGATGGTTTAAAATATATTCACTGCATTGGTGCCATTGTTAAGTATATTAGAAGGATCCAAGTTAACCGTTATTAGCTTTCCACCTAGTGCTTTTAAGCCAAACCATGTTATTTGAAAAAGAACAGAAAGGAGGCAACTTGAGCCCAGTAGGCTACTCTGCATTCAATACCTACTATCAAGTTCCTACARATCTCCACATTATGATGCTCTAATTCCAAAACACAATCCTGCAATTTGAATAGCACAATTCTGTTGAGAAATTTCAGAGCTTTCAACATTTCCAGTAAAGAGATTTTGAAAAGTCAAGCTGACAAAGTGGTAATTAAAAGTGTTTTACCCATAAGACTGAAGAACTCAATATTAAAATTAGGCTGCTGTTGAAGGCTCAGAGAAAAGGGTGGCAAAACACACCATTAAACAGCTATTAGACAAAACATTTTGTTCAGTGCATTTTCTGTTCATTACTTTAGATGCACAATCGATAATGAAAGTAAACGATTTGAATTATTTTGCTAAAATCTTTGTGCTAGATAAATGTCAACAAAGCAACATGCTATTTATCACAGGAAAACAATGAAACAATACTGAACTCCTTACTTACAGACAAAGAAACCATTGTAACTTATCCCCTGTTCAACTTCACCATCATGTTTCTCCCTGAATTTTACCAAAGATATATTATTTTGGTCAACTAATATTTGAAGTTCTCTACTAACAAATTATTAGAAGAATAAATAAAAAAGCTAAAACTACTCAGCTGGAAAGTCTCTGTTTGTAGGAAAGAAAAGAATGCTATTCTCCAGCAGCCCACAGAAGACATGCTGTTTTTTCAGGCAAGTTACAGAAGAAGAACATCTGGCTGGTAAAAGCATTTTACAACTAAAATTAGAATTAGAAATATTTGCCCCTTTTAGGAAAAACAGAAGGTTTTCAACTTGATGTTAAATATTTTCTGATTAACTCAACTGGCACAGTGTGTTAGTTATCAAATTCTGTTATCTCAGCCACAGAAAACTATCGGGCCCCAGTCGTAACTGTTAGTACTATGCGAGCATATGTTTATTTTTACTTGGTTGTTGTTCATCACAACCAAATGGGTGCTACCTAGTACTGAGCAGTAAATATACAGAAAGCAAAACACAGTGTCAGGTTTGGCAAGCTATTCCTTGAGCATTGCTTTTCAAATCRTTAAACCTGTCAAAGATACACTTCCTTTTTAAAGCAATCTCCTGTCTTAAGGGACAACCACAGATGTACAGAAGACATAAAAATAATTCTTTTCCACTTCCACTACATCATTTTAGAAAGCCACCTTTGTTAAGAGATTGACTGCCACGCTTTWGTAGTCCCCTAAAAGAACTTCTGAGCGCATCAGATTGTTGGGTTTTTTTGTTTAAAGAAGAAAAGARCATAGGCGAAAAAGTACTAGGCACTGCCAATTTTACTAGCCTGGTTAATAACAAGAAAAAGCAACAGAACCAAAAAAGTCAGGGGTATAAAAATCAGATCCTGCTCCTCAGTCTAAAGAATCCTGCAGCCTTGGTGGTGTCCAGCCAAGAAATATAAATGCAAGCTCTACATACACATTAAAAAGGATGTTGTAAGAGTTCCCCAAGACTAGAAATAATTCTCACATGACAAGTAAGTTGAAAACATCACTCTGAAAGCCTGCTCTATTAGTATACAGAGTAGCTAGAAGTTGATTGTAGAATTGTTTCATTAGCACAATTCTCAGTGGAGGGACAATCTAGGTCCTTATCAGTCAGAGGCCGTGCACTGGAAACCTGCTGGCTACAACTGTATGCCAACGAAGCTTGAACCAGCACAATTTGTCACTCAGGACAGACAGGCCCTAAGCAAGCATGAGTTTCTTACAGCAGCCACAATTTGCAACAAACAAAAATTAATCTATGTTGTAAGAGTACATTTGCCTAAAATCATCAAAATTAGTTGACAGGGATTCACCAATTTGCAGTATTATGCATTTATAATGGTATCAACAGTTCTGTTAGTTTGAGCAAATGCTGCCTTGCACAAATCTCAAAGACTGAAATGCAGTATTTCCAAACCAGCTGTTTTAATGCCCAAAAACAGGGTTACATGCCCAAACATTTCAGAACTGTTAGTCTACCAAATATACATGGACAGTTCAACTTGTTTACTGCAGGATGTRTCTTCTTCTTTACTGAGGCTCGCTTTGTGTCCACTTTGAATTTGTAAGCCCAGTCATATGCAGAACAGGAACTATGTTCCATGCAAAAACCCTTAGTGCTGCTGAGGGGWTTTTTCACTTTAGGAAAAACATGTCAGAAAAAGTTTGTGTGCTACCTCTCGCAGTCAAGTGTCCTCTGGAAATGAAACAAGAATTAAATGAACAGAATCCCAAATAAAATACTCTGCACTTGCACATTTTTTATGAAGTATAGGATTTTTTGGAAATGTTGTCAAGAAATACCTTCTTACCTGACTGCATAGTCAAGTCCATTTTTTGTGGCTGATACATCAATGGACTGTCTTCATTTAATGGAAGAACACATTTCTGAACAAATCTCTTTCTTGCAGTTTGATTATGAATCTTTTGAGGGGAAATATCAGGATTCCTTTCTTCTCCTAACCTCTTGTTTTTCAGGAGTTCTATCAGTGTAAGTGACTGATTTCTTTTTTCATCATGTAGTACTGCTTTTGTTTCATCACATTCATTTAGGAAACTCAGCCCTTCTTCYTCCGATGCAGACACAGATATATCTTCAGTCTTTAGGCCATTATGGTATGCTTCAAGAGGTATAACATTCTGAGATAAAAAGTCATCATTTGATGCATATTTCTGAGCAACAAATGGTCTGGGAATAATACGGCGACTGTTCAAAGCCTTTAGGATTTTCTCATACTTCTCTTCATTTTGCATCATCTCATTCAGCACACAGATTGGAGACTTGTGTGCATCCCACTTGGTTTTGCCAAGCCTCTTCAGGTGTCCTCGCACATGATTAGACAATCCAATTTTTGTATCAAACCAGCCACCACAGAGCTGACATGTATGCTCAGAGGAAGTTTCAGATTTCTCAATTGCTACAAAGAAAATAATCACAGTGTTTTTTGACAATTAGATACAGTTAAATGTGACAACAGCAAATCATAAGACAAGCTTTACAGCAAGATAAAGCAAGTCTTGTTTAGTGCTCTATAAATCCCTTTGCCCCCCTTTACTTCGTACCCAAATAAAGAAACCAAATCTTACCTTTTCTAACACGTTTAACTGGAGTCCCTGTTCCAGCTCTTTTAAAATGCTGCATTTTGTCACTTGTTGCTATCTGTTCTGGTGAAACAACATGACGGGCTTCATAGCTTAGTCCAGCTCTGTGAAGATGTCCTCTGACATGATTGGACAAGCCAACACCTGTTTCAAAGGTTGCTGGACAGTACGGGCAGGACTTCTTTTCAAGTGACAAATCAGTCCAGTGGAAAACTGAATTATGCTTTGGCAATGCCGATCCTACATTTTCTAAATTCTGAGGATCATGCAAATCATGCAAGAAGTTACTACCCTCAGCATCTTCATAATACTCAAAATAAAAGCCATCATTCTGCTCATAACCAAGTGAAGAYTTATCACCAGCTTCATTATCTTCCATTTTACCTTTGAATATGGGGAATAGGTTTACATGCTCCTGATTAATATCACTGTAAGGTTCATCCTCCACAGACTGTGTAGTGTAATCACATAGTTCAACATTATCCCATGAACTTTCATCCTCCGTTTCATAGCTGTCTTTTTTTTCAGCAGAGTTTAGTTTCTGGAAAACAACAACAGTCATTTTATGCAGAAAATCTGGATAGCAATCCAAATAATCTCCTTTAACAGAGCCTTCCCTCTTGGGTTCTTTAACCACTTTTTTTACAGCTACATGCCTATGATCTTTACAGCCTTCTGCCCTTTTGCAATCAAGGCTATTTGAATCCATGACAAAACAATTATTACTYGATGAAGAAAATAAATGTAAAGTACTGACAGATTTGGACTCTTCCTTTTTTAAATGTAAAGGGTAAGAGTCACCAGAGTTTTTAATCATCCTGTAGTTTTCATATTTGTGCCTATATAAATAATTACTTTTTTTGGCACTAGCTTTCTGCTTTGCTGCTTGATGAAAATATTTACGTTTTTTGTCAATGCTATTTCTAATAAAAAWGTTCTTGTTTGTAGAATTTAGATTGCACACACTTACAGATGACTGTGAAACGCTTTTCCGAGCCTTCTGTATCCTGTAGGGTCTCTTGTGAAGTTTTGTGAAGTTACTGGATTGTGAAGTAGAGCCAAATGATCTTTTTACATCCTGTTTTAAAGCAGAGTTCTTTGGAAAAGTAGAAGAATGTTTGAACAACTGTTTTGTCCTGCTACGAAAATCTAACGATTCTTCTATTATGCTGCCCTTTCTTTTCTCTAGTCTAAGATGGCTACCAAAGGGATCAATGCACGATGCTGAATGCAAATATGCCATGTGTTTTTTTAAAATACTTCTAGCTGAAGTAGCAAACGGACACAGCTTACACATATATGTTGATGACTTTCTTGAGGATCCTAAATAAGAATCTTTCAAGGATGCCTTTTTCTGGGTTTTTCTCTGGGACATGTCRCTACCAATAATTGAACACTTGACTACTGCTCCATGAGCGATCCCTCGATGGCATTCCAATTCATTTTCTGTCACAGCCATGAAATTGCACTCCTCACAACAGTAGTATCTTTTATCTTTTTCATGGGTCTTTGCATGCTGCACAAATGTTTTAGGACAATTGGTACCAAATACACACTGTGGGCATTGTAACCGTGCACTCCTACCCTCATCCTGAAGTTCTTTCAGCTCACGGATTTCCTCCATCAGTTTCTGCCTTCTTTCTTGGTGAATTATCATATGTTTAAGAAGTGAATTACGATCTCGAAATGTCCTTCCACATTCCCTACACGCATAGGGCCTGGGGACATTGAGATGTCGGAAATGACTGTTCCCATCTAAATGATACATCATATGCCTATGCAGATGTTTCTTCTCTCTAAAATTCACATTGCACTTTGTACAGGGATAAAATGATGGTTCATCAGTACTGAAAGTAGGTGGTGATTCAGAATCATTCTCTTCACATTTGTTTTTCAAAGTGGATAGAAAAGTGCTAGTGTGAACAGGAGAAGTATCTTCTGCACAGTTACTAGAGGGACTATAAATGAGCTGCTGGATAGCATCAACAGTTTCCAGCTCTTCATCTGTGGATTCAGGCTTTACTTTACTCAATGAATATTTCTGTGGTTCTACTATTTGCAGCTCCTCATTTGGCTCTAAGAATTCAACATTTAATAGTTTTGATTTACTAGGAATACAACTGGTATCATCAAAACAGTCTTCAGTATAGCGTGTTATTTTACTAACATCCATTTTCCTTTTTCGCTTCTTTTCTAGCCCTACCTTACAGTGAATGGGAGACTTCTCTATTGTTTCTTCATTTGTCATAAGGAATTGTATAAACTCTTTTTGTGGATCCCAGCTGGGATCACATCCCGATCTGAAGCCACCTGTACCTGAGGAAATGCCTGTTAACGTATCGACACAATCATCTTTTAATAGTAAATCTTTATCATCCTCACAAACTTCTACTTGGCCTACTAAAGTGCTATCTACACTATTTCCTACTGTTTTCTGTGAATCGCAACCCATTGAAGCAGAGGTAGGTAGATTTTTAATGGAATGAGTCGGGTTCTTAGCATGTGCTACATCGGGTAACAAAAATAAAACTTGGTGCTGATTTGATTTCTGTGTTGTACTCTTTGCAGGCAGCTGAAGATCATGAACCACTGTCAAAGTTGAGCAGGAATCTGTGAGATGACCTCCAGGCTGTCCAGCAGTTAATGAAACGCTGCCTTTATTCATACTCAAAGTCTTTGTTGAGGTGGAGTGTGAAACTGGTCCATTAACAGCAGTTCCTCTAGACAACATAAAGTTTTCACTAGAAACAGTAGGAGCACCAGTGTGTATAAATAGAGAAGCCTGGCCTCCACTTAAGGCTTTTTCAGATCTGTCCCTTGATAGCTCCTCAGTCAGAGTCARTGTGTTGCTCTTCTGAAATGATGTGTCACTCTCTTCTGGTTTGGGAATGCCACCTTCTTCCTCAGATACAAAATTATCATCACATAGGATTTCTTCTGCTTTAGCACCAGTGACTTCAGTATTTATCTCTAAATCATCCATATTGCTGGTCTGTCCATTAAGTACATTTATACTAAAAAACAAACAAGAAAAGGATCAGACAATTGCAGAAATAAATAACGGCAATTTTAATCTACAGCTTTCCTTCAGGATCACTSTTCACACTGTAATGTAAAAAGATGTTTTGAACTTGTCAAAAATCTATTTTTCATTTAGGATAATCAGGACACTTAAAATGGATCAATGAAGAAAAAAAAATATTTTTCTGCTATCCAAAATTAATAACCATAGAGCAAACTAGTCACTGCCGAGTATTCCAGTTCAAAGAAGCCTGAGACCTACATACAGGCAAGATGRAGATTGTCAGAACGCAAATACATTCTACATGTACATAAATACAGTTAATCTTCAGTTGTTCTCTAGAAGCAAAACAAGTAAGGAGCAGAGGTTACCCAGACATTGACTAGCAATTCTGTGTTTTTTAAAACACACTTTTTTATGTTTCTCAAGGTAGAAATTTTTTCAAGGTACTTCCATACCATTCACCTGATACTACATGGAAGCATGCAGAAGGAGAAAACAATGAAGCTGGTTCTGAACATCGGATTAGTGACAGAGACACAACAAATTATCAAATTTACTGAAGAAACTAAMAAAGGACTCTCCTTGCTTTAAAACAAATAAATTCCACTCTGTTTATAAGGCTGTTTTAAATTATAAGCAAATAAAACAACATCTTATCAAAGGCTGGGAAAAAAATACTGTAAGAATTAAACATTTCATTAGGATTTACCTACCAGGTTAAGTCACCATGCAGAACCCAGAGTATGACAATAACAGAATCTACTAGTACAGAGAACTACCGCATATTAATTCCCTGTCRGTAGCCTTTTCTTCCTACAAGTGACTTTTATTCATATATCAAATCACCTACTCTGCTTCGTGAGCACAAAGGAGTTGCCTACACATGAAAATTAATGCATGGCCAACAGAAACGTAAACTTCACCCTCACATTCACTTCTTATATGGGTCCTCAGAACACAGTGAGCATAAGGCATTAAAACATTCATCYAGGAGTCAGGACATGTGTCTTTTACAGAAATCACATATTTTACCCTTAGGGAATACTACTCACTTTGATCTTTTGGGGGATTTGATTCCTGACATCACACACCTTCAGTTACTAATTAACATTTTGGAATAGAACTCAGTTAAAAGGAGTTATTACCTAGACTCTTTGAATTAAGATGTTATAACTCACAACTAATATCCATGGCTTCCTGCAATGGTCCTTTATAGAAATCCAGGAAGACCACTTTGGACATCCTTTTTTCCTAGGGAGAGAAAACAACCTGGTTAAACACCACCAGTTTCATCTTCATACATGACATTTTAAAATACGTCCAGTATTTTCAGTTCAGCAGAATAACAGTTATCCATACAGTTCAAGGCTAACTATGGTTTCATGGAAATTCTCCATTATTGCACTTGTTTTGATTCAAATCGGCAAAAGGACAAAACAATTATTTAACCTCTTCTGAGTYAGTAAAAAACAAACCTTAATGTAAGATAATTTACTTCTGCAGATAAAAGTAGTTCTATTCAGAGTAGAAATACAATGAAAAATGAAGTAATTAAAAAAGATTTCTTTTGCTACTCCATCACTGAACTGCCAATTTAGAAATACAGCAATGCTTGGATCAAAGACATAAAAAATGCTTTAAGCGTGTGAAATATTTTATTGGATCATTTACCTATAACATACCTTTACGCAAATGTTATACTAGATACCCCAGTTTCTCATCCTCCCATTTCTTAGATTTTTGCTTTTCTTTGCTGTTTTGAGATGGGTCATTTTTCACTATAGTAACGACTTCCAATAAGATCACATTCAAAGCTATCACCCTAAAATGGTGATAATGCACCACCCAGCAGGAGTCTTCACTTCACATACACAAGTTAGAAATGGGCAGTGCAAACATGTGCTAAGAATCAGTAATGCCAAAGTCAATTAAAAGAAGTGAAACCTCCAATGATGCGCACAAAGTGAAACCTCCAGCAATTTTACAACTGAATAATGTAGGCTTCATACATTCCTATCTTCATATAGGCAGCAGAGTATAAAACTGTTACAAAACATTTAYAAGAAATTGAGTAAGACAATTTTGCCTGGAAGATGTGCATTTCCCTTGGTTTATTGTGGCRGAGGCAGACAAAAGTGTGCTCAGTCAATCTGAAAGCCTGCATTAGCTTTTCTCAACAGGAAGCAATGTTGCTAACGAAGTGGTAAATTCAGTGTTAATGAGTGGCTTACTGTTACCACCTCTGAGGTAAAACCTTCCATATTCCAAGTTCCACCCATCTGTTCTGGTGTGAGGGGTTCAGAGAAGAACAGACGCTTCCCATTTAAAGCAACTTCATGGGTACCCCCTGAACAGCGGGGAGGCAGACTGAGAATATTGTGCTGCTTGGAGATTGCAGTCCTCATTATCAGAAYGGCTCCTGAAAACTTCTCACGGCTTTACAAGATGGAGACAAAAGCATGTTGCTCGACATGCAAAACCATACCAATAACAAATATTAGTGTTAAAGCTGAAGTTAAGAAGGTGGCTAGGACACACTGTAGTCACCATTAAACTGAGATTCTCTTCAGAGTTGTCAGAGATATCTAAAGCACTACCTCATGCAATCCTGTAAGAGATTGCTTTCCATACTGTGTATTTAGGGAGATTCTGAACTATTTCATATGGGTATGATGAATAAGTCTTCTATAGTAATACAGGTATCCCTACAGATATCAGTCTTGATTCAAAGCCTGAAATGCTTACTGCATCAATAATATCACTGTTACATTTTAATAATTTTTTGCTAATTATAGCTTTTATTATCATCATATATTATTGTTTTTCCAGCTTTCAAGGTGGTACAATCATTGCTTTTTGTGCAGAACAACAATAAAGTTAACAGCATAGTATTAAACAGAAAATATATTTTTAATTTGCAATAATTTATATATTTTTAATTTGCAATGATTTAGTCTTGTGATAACACTAAACCAAGATGCAATACTTCAATTACATTATCAACTCCATGTATCTAAATTTATGCAGTAACAGTAAGAGGTATAACTGAAGACACAATACTCTGTTTTTTGAGGAAATGTTATCATCAAACAAACTTGTCTTGAGAAAAAGAGAAAAATCAATCATAGTAATAAGATGTTATCAAGGCTATGCAATATTCTTCGCATGCTTTCATCAGTTTTTAAAYTATCTTCTCTATATCATATCAGGAATACAGAATTATTAGTTTTGTCAAAATATATAGCATTTACTACTTGGGGTATTTGAAAAATTAAAAATAGAGATCAAACTTTAAATTTGTTGAACGTACAACTTATCATATCTGCTACCAGGACTATATTAGCTCAACTATATAGCTGAGGTAATTTTTATTTCAACACCAAATGCAATATACCTAGGAGACATATAAATGTAAAAATGRCGATGGAAAATAGCTGGAAAAGCCTACACAAGTATAAACAATCCCAACTCAYACCTTTGAAACACACTTTAGATAAAGGCTAGGTCAAATTCAWTTATTTCAGTTAAATCTAGAATGACTGCAATGCACTTAACTGATATTCCTGGTTTCCATGCTGTGCTATTTACTATTCAGAAGTTATTTAATATTCAAAAGTAGAAGGAAAACAATTATTTATCCAACTAGGCCATACTCCACTCCCTATTAATTGATTTAAAATTTGCTTAATTTTAAACACCGTTTTTATTCATGAAGTATCAGTTTTAAAAATCATAATGCGTTCTGCAGAGATGACTGCCTGTGGCCAGATAGTCTAASTATTAAAAAAGTGTAAGGTCAGATCTATCTTCAAGCTGACAGATCATAATTTAAATGCCTTAAGCTAATCTTATTGTCTTAAAAATCTTGAACATCAGTATTTTTGCAAACTATCAGCACTTGCTATAACACCCTTACTACACTACATCTTGAGGTTACTACAGAAGAAATRAGGTGATAATTGCATATTAACATAATTATTTGGTAATCCCTCCAAGCAAGCTTCCTAGGTCACTCAGTAATTCAGATTAGATGCAACCTTCCTGTCATCAGATCTATGCTGTCCACTTTCTGTTCATTAATAATTCTTTTTGATAGGAATGTACTTAATTCCATTGTTCTATGTACATTATTAATTGTATTTATTACCAGTAGGTTTATGACCTTTCCAAGTTCTTATTTCGTAATGACAACCTTTACTATGCAATAGGGTCACACACCAAATTAAGAGCACTGCCTTCATGCAGTGCTAGCTCAGTGAAGCTTACATCTTGCCTACTCGCAGTTGTAYGCAAGAGATGTGTCAGTCTCTGTTGCAAGCCCCACACTATTTTGCAGGGATTTACAACAAATTTGAAAGCACACTAGAGCTAAAAATTAAGATGGAAGAATTTGGCTGAGTTGGTGAAAAGCATGAAATGCCATTATGTGTTCCGGTATCAAGTTTCTCACTAAATTCATAAATATAAGCCAATGAGCTAAAAGCACAGTGACTCTCTAAGTAGCACAAAAACTTAGAAGCCATCTCCTAAATGGACTGAATTTAATTCATCAGCCTAGTGCACGAAACTGAGGAAATACAATGTCTTTCAGCAGTCTTGTAACAAAGGCAAAAATGTACTTGTCCTGTGCTAAGTAACTTCTCCTAAGTCAAGTTCTTTAAGCAGATATGTGAATAACCAGGATACTCAAGGGATTATTCAAATATTCAAGAGATAGGAAGGGTGCTTCAGGTTTGCACTGTTCCCATTTAGCTTTTTCTTCAAGACTTCATTATAAATATTCAATATATAAATAACAAAACCTATCATTTTTCCACAAGTGTTCATTAAATAAAACTTCCTCAAGCAACAGATTATATTAAAGATGATGATTAAGTCACAGATTTTTAAGCAACAAACAGCAGACCAGAGAGAGCTTAAGTACATCATGGCACRGGGCTAAAAATGCATCTCCTTCTATTTTGTCCATCACAGTCTATGCTTTAAAACCTTAATCATGGCAAACATCACGCATAGAACTTCTGCCAGAAGAGTAAGGTTTAAGAACCTCTGGAAAATGAAAATTTGTACAGAGTAACAGAGGAAATAGCAGTGCATCAACACAGTCACATCTTGACAAAAAAAAATTTAGAGGATAGCTGCACAATATTTTTGCCTCTTCCATATAGTAATGCACACAGATTTTATACCTCTGGAGCTTTGGGTATTATCTAGCAATATTAATACACAAAATCAATAAAACCATGATACTCTGATCATTAGAACAATACCTATTACTGTTTTCCAGTTTATTCCTTTTTTAAAAGCTGTCCTGATCCACCTTTCAGATAAATGAAACCATTAAGCCTGACAACTAGAGGACAAGACAGTGACTCACCTTCCTCCAGCTTCTATTTGTGTTTGCAAATCAAGTTGYTGAAATACATTTCCTTCTACACAACAGAAACACTATTTGTAGACTGCTTTACTTAGCTTTGAAACCTACGGATTCACCTGATCACTTCTGCATTTTTTCAAGCTTCTGTAGCAAAGAGACAGCTTGTTTAATATGCACAAGTGTGAGTACTGCTCCCCACCTACTTTACATACAGTCCAGTTACTAATCTAACTACAAGAGTTCCACTCAAAACTAGTTATCTTCAATACAATTCAAATCCACAGCTTTCACATAAAAATACACTGAAAAATTCTCACAGCTAACTAGACTGCCAAATTAAAATTTTTAAAAGCAATGTGAAATATTACCAACACATCTGTAYTATACCCAAATAAATATAAAATTACTTTCACCCACACTATAACATTTTGTTACACTGTTGAAAGGTTCACTGAGTTGTCAAATATCTGYAGAAAACATTGACCAAAGAGAAATTCTCCATTATAGGGGAGCCATCACAAAAGCAGCTCATCTTTTCAGTAAGATTATAGCTGGGAAGAGCAAATCTGAAGCCCACTTTTTCAGAAAGTTTCTTTTCCTTAAATTTAGCTCCTCATGAGACAATGTCTTCAAAAGCTGTCTGTTAGGAACAGTAAGGAATGCAAAAAAAATCCTCAAAAATGTAAAGATTTCAGAAACTTGATTTCTGGTTTAAAATGTCTAAGAGTGATACATTAACACATGTGAAAGGAAACTGAACACAAMCTGAAATAAGAATGACCATCTAACAATTAGAAATCACAAAAGAGAATTCCATTACTGCCACCAATCATTCTTAATCTTGTTCCTCTATTATTGATTTGCTTGGGAAAAT